AGAGATATGGACTGAATTAATACTAACTGAGATGAAAAGTAAAGATTTTTGGACTGATTTAATGTTTAGGATTTAGATTTATAATTGAGATGAAATTATTGGTTAGATTATAGTTTGGAATTGTGAAATGAAAAAAGGTTTTAAATGGGGAGCTATTAAGACAAGAAATAGAATATTTGTGTGAAATAGTGTTAAGAAGGTATTTTGGGGGGATAATATGTTTATTATAGGTATGATAATCACTTTGTAATAGAATGAAAACAAGGAAATGAATTGTGACAATGGAAGATATGGTATTAGTAAATGAAGACTTATTAGAATAAGAATTAGAATATACTTCGGAAATGTAGAAGGTAACTGTTGGAATAAGTTGTTTATTTTAGATATTATAAATATTATGTTATGAAATGAGGGAAATTAGGGATACCCGAAGTGTAAACAATATGTTTAATTAAGGCTAAATTGGAATATGGTAATTGGAATTTAGTAAAGCTTAAAAACAGGACTTGGAGTTGTATAGGTAAAATGTTATTGATAAAATTTTATAGATTGATTGAATTTTATTTAGAAATGTATTGATTTGAATATGTTATATTAATGGAGGGAAATAGAGAGGGAATCTTTAAGGAGTTAACCCGACTTGTATATGTATGATTTTTGACTTTGGATAATTAATTACCATCTCCATGTTGTTTCCTAAGCACTCTGTTGTAAAAAATGAAAAAATAATAAAACTTGTTATTTAAAAAAAGCATCTCTATTGCTGCTGCTCTTGCTACATTTTTCCACTCCTCAGATTTTGCTGCCACCAATTCCTCACAGCCGACGGATTGCTCCAGGCCTTTTGTCCTCTGCCAGACCAGGCTAGCAGGAGGCGGGGAAGGGGACTGGTGATCTCGCTGGGGAGGGAACGCTGATCAAGTCCTCCACCTGGAAGAGGATTGCAGGGCTGGAAGGATGCAGGGAGAGAGTTGTGGTAGTTGGGTTGCCTCTAGTTTGCTGGGCCCTAGGTCAGGCTGCCTGGCTGCCCCCTTGAGCTGGGCTGCCTAGATTGGGGTATTGATCTAGGCAATTACTGAATATACTGTGACCCACCAGTTCATGGCTTCCAACAGTCTCCCTCATTGTCTGCTATTCAGCTGCTGGTTCACTGCTCTCAGTTGCCTTTTTTTCAGTTTTGGGCTGCTTAGTTGTGCTCCTGAAGTGGCTTTCTCGTTCTCTGCTGCCAGTTACCTCTGACTCCATGTGCAGCTATTCATTTGCTGTGCTCCTGTTTGCTGGTGTTTTCCTCCTTGCCCCAATTTCTTCTTTTCCTTTATCCTTTCTATTTTTCTTATCTAATTTTCTGCTTCTTTTCCCTACCTTTTCCCCCTCTCCCAGTACTTTCCTACTTAGATTAGTAACTTCTCTCCTGATACTGACGCCATCTTGGAATCAATACTGTAGTTTCCCTTTATACAACCTAGAGTTAAGAATTCATTTTATTTCATAATGGGTGTCACCTTCCACTATAATGGGACCTGGGGCAATTTGAGGTATTGATCTCAAAGTCGATTCTGTAATTGGTCTCAACAAGCTACAATGGAAAACTGGATGTATTTTCCCCAATAGTCGTGGGAGCTTTAGCTCAACTGTGACAGGATTAATAATCTTTACAATGGGGAAAGGACCAATACTTTGGGTCCCAGCTTCTTACAAGATAGTTTTAATCTTTATCTTTAATCTTTGGTCGAGAAATAGACTTTCTCTCCTATATGAAATGATTTCTGGGGGGACCACCTCTTATCAGCTTGCTCCTTTTGAATCTTTGTGGCTTTTTCTAAGGCATGTTTGCTGTTTGCCCAAGCAGTTAGTGTTTGTGACGAGGGGGGTTCCTGAGGGTATTCAGGCATAGGCAGAAACTCCCTGCTTTGAGAAAAGGTCAATAACAGTCCAAATCATGGTGTCTCGCTATTTTCAGGGAGTTCAGTGATAAAATCCTTTACAATCTCTTCCCAGGGCTGGGATGGTTCTGTTCTCTGTTGTAGCAGCCCAGGGGGATTTCTGGTTTGGATTTCATGGAGGTACAAATCACACAGCTCTTAACATAGCTTTCAATGTCCTTTTTCATTCCTGGCCACCAGAATTGCCATCTCACTAAGTGTAAAGTTTTTAAGAATCCAAAGTGGCTGGCTTGCTTAGCATCATGACTTTGTTGCAGGGCTTGGACCCTGAGAGTGCTAGGAAGGTACAACTTGGAACCCTTCCATGCTAGTTCATCCATATAGATTAACCACTGTCTGTTGTCTCTGAACCAGAAGTTGGATTTCAATTTGTTCTTTAGTTGCTGGGCTAAGCTGCTGTCAGGGCTGATGGACTGTTTTGGAGCTTGATGCCTAGTGGTGACTTGAGAGGCCTTTTGAGGTGAGGGGATGATAGTGTTCACCGCCTCCTCCCAATAGCTCTTGTACTGTGGTATTCTAGACAAGGCATCAGCCAGGAAGTTTTTCACCCCAGGAATATATTTGAGAAAGAAGTTAAAATGATTGAAATATTGTGCCCATCAAACCAGATTGGGGGATAATTTGCACAGGGTTTTGAATGCTTCAAGGTTCTTATGGTCAGTCCATACTTCAAAGCGTATATTGCTGCCCTCTAGGAAGTGACGCCAGGTTAGCAATGCCCATTGTACAGCAAATGCCTCCTTCTCCCATACAGCCCAATGCTACTCTGTGTCAGTGAGTTTTCTGTGCACAGTTGCAGTTCCCCCTTGTCATTTTTCTGAAGAAGAATGGTACCCACTACAATATCACTTGCATCCGCTTGAATGATGAACTGTTCCTTAGATTTGGAATGTTTGAGGATTGGTTCTCCCATGAACAACCTTTTGAGTTGCTCAAATGCTGCTTGGCACTCTATAATCCACTTTAAATATTAAATGGGGGACAAAAATAAATTTTAAAAAATAACTTCCAACCTTTTTTATTGACCTCTTCCCTCTTATTATACAAATCCTTTCAGCCCTTCATTTAATTCCTGTCTTTCTCAATCTTCAAATCCATAAATCATCACACTCATACTCATATTGAGGCCTATAGAACACCGGTTTATAGGCAGAAGGTTGTTTCAGAGTGTGAGGGGGCATGAATATAGAATTTATATGCAATGTTGAATTGGAAAAAAAACCCCACCACCACCAAACAAGGTTTATGGTTTTATAAACTTCAAAAGCACTTTTTTTTCAACTGCACTACTTATCATGCCAGTTTTTAAACTTCAAGCACATTTGTTGGGAAAATGAACACACACTTTAAAAAAACAAAGCTTTATGGTAAGTAAAACAGCTTTCCTCAAATCCTTTCTCACCTTTCCCCAAGCATCTTTAGTCATTCTTGCATGGGGCTGAATCAAGATTTTGGACAAAGCCCACTTCCCTCACTTCTTTTAATATCCTTTCTAAGTCTCTAAATTTCATTTTTTGTAGCCAGTAATACATTGAAAACTTCCCTTGTTTGATTTTTTTCCTCAAGGGATTATACAATTAATCCTTGTTTCATGACCACAATTGGGAACAGCAACTTGGTTGCTAAGTGAAACTGCAACTATGCTTATTATCTTACTTCAACTTTCCTTTGCTTTATGGACCTATAAAGATTATAAATGCAAGGATCGATTGCAAAGTTAACTTTTTCACGCTGTTGTAACTGAAAATTATTGTTATTCCCTATATACAAATTTTATTCTGTAAACAATAGGAATATAGGAATTGATCATTGACATCAGTCGGAATTCTGATTTTGCAAAGCTTGAAGTAGATTTGCTGTGAGGTGTCATATGGAGGATGCACAATGAAAAGCTCTCGTTTTTATTGGATTTAGTTAATGTGAAATCACATTTCACTTTAAGCTTGGTAATTGAGATTGACCAAGAACTAAGGAGGAGCTGTAGTGGTGCAGTGGTTAGAATGCAGTATTGCAGGCTAACTCTGCCCACAGCCAGGAATTTGATCCAGAACACTCAAGGTTAACTCAGATTTCCAGCCTTCTGAGGTTGGTAAAATAAAGATTCAGATTGTTGGGGGCAATATGCTGACATTTGGAAACCACTCAGAGAGTGCTATAAAGCACTATGGAATGGTATATAAGTCTAAGTGCTATTGCTATTGCTAATAAAATGAAAGCCATACAATATAGAGACATTTGGAAGAGTAGTTTATTTCTTTCATTTATTTAATAATTCTGTGTTTACTTGATTTGCAGATTTTTTGTTAAATCTATCAGGTCAATAAATTCCAACGTATTCTCAATATGATTTATATGAAATTATCTAATGTGACTGGTCCTAACCATTCAGCTGTGGATAAAATATGATGAAAGTCAGATTGGTCTAATAGTTAAAGCACCAGGCTAGAAAGTAGAAGACCATGAAAAAAAAAACCACCACCACCAAACAAGGTTTATGGTTTTATAAACTTCAAAAGCACTTTTTTTACCAGATTAATAAAATGTCATGCAGTATATGATTTCATGTAGTTAGGGTTTGGTTATCTGAACCTATAAATAGCATGTTGAAATAAAAATTTTTGCAATGTATTTGATATGCAAAATAGGCTATGCATTCTTTTTAAATGGCCAAGTTGAAATGTATCTATTCTGGAGTACAATAACGAGGAGAAAACTTTCAACTTGGGCTAGTAGGAATAAGGAAAAAAAAATACCCAGATGATTCCCAGTCACTGGGAGTTGGGTGTCATATACAGGTTACAGAGGAACATAATTTGAGACTAACTGCACTACTTATCTACCATAATACCGCCTTAGCCATGAAAGCCAGCTGAGTGACCTTGGGCCAGTCATTCTCTCTGAGCCTAACTCATCTCACAAGGTTGTTGTGGGAAAAATAGGAAGGGGAAAGTGCACTGGATATGTTTGCCACCTTGATTTTTTTGTAAAAATTAATAAAGGTGGGATACATACATACATATATACATATATAAATAAATTCCTTTCCCACCCCCACAGGTACCACCCACATTATTGAATACACAGTTCTCCGAATTTACGCCAGACATAACGCCCATTATCTTGGCTGCCCATACAAACAATTATGAGATCATTAAACTTTTAGTCCAGAAAGGTGTGTCTGTTCCTAGACCACATGAAGTTCGCTGTAATTGTATGGAATGTGTCTCCAGTTCAGAGGTGGATAGCCTTCGTCATTCCCGATCCAGACTAAATATCTACAAGGCTCTTGCAAGCCCATCTTTAATTGCCCTATCAAGTGAGGACCCATTTCTTACAGCATTTCAGTTAAGTTGGGAACTTCAGGAACTGAGCAAAGTGGAAAATGAGTTTAAATCTGAATATGAAGAATTGTCATATCAGTGCAAGCAATTTGCAAAAGATCTATTGGATCAGACTCGGAGTTCAAGAGAATTGGAAATTATTCTTAATTACAGAGATGATAACAATCTAATAGAAGACCAGAGTGGAAATGATTTGGCAAAATTAAAACTGGCAATTAAATACCGTCAAAAAGAGGTAGGTATGCAGATAAAATGTTAATGGATTTCTTTGCAATGAGTGAGATAATATGCTTCATAAATAAGATCAAGTGCAGTTCAGATCCTCTGTTCTTCATTATTTCATTATCTTTATTTTTTAATTAAACATTTTAAGTTATTAGGGTCTAGTGGCCACTGAAATATTGCAAAAATTGTTGTGGGGAAAATAGGAGGAAACTGTGTTGGATATGTTTGCTCCCTTGAGTTACCCTCCCACAAGATGGCTAGATTTCTCCCCCAAGATGGTTGCTGAATGGTAGGAACTTTTTTTTTCCTGCCAATGATCGGCTGATTTTGTTGTCAAAACTGGTTCTTTGGCAGTATTACTCCCTGGATTTGAATGGGAGCATTTAGGAATAACCCCTGATAACTTTTGGATGACCGTGGACCCACCTGGGATTAAGAATCTTCATTACTGTTCCTAGTGGGAATGATGGAAAGTCAGGTCATCCATCTTTCCCTCTTGACAGATTAAGCATGCCTGGGTATAAACTTCATTTTTTAAAGCTTTTGTTTCACTTAGCTCTTTATCTTTAAAAGTTGGCTGACTATTGAATGCTGATCTATTTTAACTCCTTGCTGGACTTTATCTGTTTTTTTCCCCTGTCTTTTTGATTTATATTCTTTTGAACAATGTATGCTTTCCCATAAGGAAATCATGGCTATATATATCATCCTCCTATTCAGCTATATTAGGATATCCACCTAATATCTTAGTATTGACATGTATACAAGATAAATGAAGATGAAATGAACTTTTTCCAAGACTCTACATTTCAAAAGCTAAGCTACTGTAGTATTATTACATTTAGGGGGTTCTGGTATTTGAGAGAGCTCTAGTAGCTATAAAAGTTGTATTAAAGAGAATATTTATCAAGGTGTGTTTTTTCCATGACTCTATAATTATAAAGGGACATGGTGGCTCAGGATTTAAGATGCTGAATCTTAGACCGTTAAAGATCTATAGCTTAGATCCGAGTGCTGCAAGCTCCCATCATTTGGCTTAACTCCTGCCAACCTAGCAATTTGAAACCATGTAAATGCAAGTAGGTAAAAAGGTACTACATATAAGCATGTGAGAAGGTAACAGCATTCCATGTTTTACCATATGCTATGTGTTATGGCATGATGTCATGCTGGCCATATAGCCACAAATGCTGGCTCTTTGGTTTAAGAAATGGAGATGAGCACTACCCTCTAAAGCCTGTCACAACTAGCAGAGTAAAACCCATGTGGACATCTTTTACCCTTTACTTTCTATAACTATAAGCAGAAAACCTCATCTCCTAAATGAGGATAAAGATGAGGATAAATATAATAGATATGAGGATATACTGGAGGACAATTTTTTTCTATCTTTAATGTTACTATATAACAATTGTGTAATACAAGGAATTTCACCTAGTAAATAAATGCAGTTAAATATATTCAATTTCTTCTTGCATGTTACATTTTGTATATAAGAATTTACTAGATAGATGAGTTTTGATTATTTCTTTTGTTTTGCATTAGTTTGTTGCCCAACCAAACTGTCAACAGCTACTTGCCTCTCGTTGGTATGATGAGTTCCCAGGCTGGAGGAGACGCCATTGGGCTGTGAAGATGTTGACTTGCATCATAGTTGGATTCCTTTTCCCTGTGTTCTCTGTCTGCTACCTGATAGCTCCCAAAAGCCCACTAGGACTATTCATCAGGAAGCCATTCATCAAATTCATCTGCCACACTGCTTCCTACTTGACTTTCTTGTTTCTTCTTCTACTTGCCTCTCAGCACATTGACAGGTCAGATCTGAATATGCAAGGGCCTCCACCAACCATCGTTGAATGGATGATCTTACCATGGATCTTGGGTAAATGTATTAGTACAGTAAAGCAAATATACTTGATTTATGTATTTCTTTAATATTTGTGTTTGGAGTAATTGATTCACACAAGAGAAAGCTGAGGCAAACAATTGGAATATATCAAATTTTTACTAGTTACATATTAGTTCTACAATACATCTGTAGCCATTCAGGACAATAATATTCAATTTAAATCAGAATTATTTTTAAAAAAACTAGCAGAAACTGGTGTAAGTCAATCATTTTCTTATTCCCATGCCAGTTAATATTTATATCCAAAACATGAATTACCAATTAATGGTTATAATCACAAACAAATGTATTCAGTCACGAGCATTGTCTTCTGTTCATGATAGTCTCAGCAATCATCAGTTCAAAATTTGCCTATGAACATTAATTCTTAGCAAATTTCATACCTTTATTATATATTTTAGAACCGGGTTCTTTTTGTCCAGTTTTAGAGTTTAGACTTAAGCCCAGTTTCTCTATTCTGTTCTCTATTCTGTATTCTCATGGGCTGGAACAGGTAGCCATGTTGAAGAGAATGGGAACTGAAAAAATTTGTGCCTCTGGGAGCAGAATTTTAATTAATTACATGTATAGGTCACCCATCTCACTGGTGGAGCAACTCTGGGCAAATTACAAACCCTTTGTAGAAGAACAGACAACTTTCTTTTCTCCTAATGTCTTTTCTTCCCTGAAAAATGAACATGCTGTTTCATTAGATTTCCCTGATCCACATCCTTCTCCCACCATAGCTTTAAGTTTTGAAACTGGCAGGTTTAAAAAATGCAAAATAAAAATAAAAAATAAAAACATACAAATACAAATAGATGAAAAGAACTTCTACCCACAAATTAATTGCAAATGGGAGGATATATCTTCATTTAAACTAAATGTTGCCTCACATGCTTGTTTATTGGTGCTAAAAATAAACTACATTACAGAGAGTGTAAATTGGTTATGAGTTTAGAACAGCTAACAGAATAGCAGAGTTGGAAGGTACCTTGGAGGTCTTCTTGTCCAATCCTCTGCTCAAGCAGGAGACCCTATAAGATTTCAGACAAATGGCTGTCCAGTTTTTTTTAAAGCCTCCAGTGATTGGGCACCCAGAACTTCTGAAGACAAGCCATTCCACTGGTTTATTGTACTCACTGTTAGGAAATTTCTCCTCAGTTCTAGATTGCTTCTCTCTTTGATTAGTTTCCATTCATTGCTTCTTGTCCTGCTTTCTGGTGCTTGGGAAAATAGGTTGACTCCTCTTCTTTGTGACCACCCCTCAAATATTCAAACATTGCTATCATGTAGTCCCTAGTTCTTCTTTTCGCTAGACTAGAAATACCCAATTCCTGAAACTGTTCTTCATATGTTTTAGCCTCCAGCCCTCTTTGTTGCTCTTCTCTACACTCTGTCCAGGGTCTCAACATCTTTTTTATACTGTAGTGATAAAAATGGATGCAGTATTCCAAGTGAAGTCTTACAAAGCCCTTATAAAGTGGTAATAACACTTCATGTGACCTTGATTCGATCACATTGTTAATGCAACCTATGATTGCACATGTTGGGCATTCACCCACCCAGTATTGGAAGGTGGAAAATCCTTCCAGAAAATTAAATATGGGTCCATGAGCTTAGGATATCTTTGACTTCAAAATGCTGTTTGCCTTCAATGAGAATAGGGATTGGACAAGATTCCTCTGCTGATCACAGGGGTGAAGTGCCTGCAGGTTTTAGAAGGCTGAAATGGAAAATAGTGTGGATTCTCCTAAGGGATTTGGGTAGGTTTAGTTCTACAGTGACTGGGTTGATAACTCTGGTTACGGGGAAAAGCCCATGTACTTTGGCCCCAATTTTCTCTCCAATTTTGTAATCCTTTTGTGACAATCTCTTCTTATCAGCATATTTTTATACATATTCCTTGCATTGTCTAGCACTTTGCAAACAACCAGCCATGTAGTCTGCAGTGATTTCATCCACTCAGCCAGTGATGTGCATTGGGGTGACTGTTAGGGAAGTTTGAAAATGGAAACAAAGTCCCAACCCATGGCTACACACAATGGCACAAAACCGGTACTGTTGTGCATTGAGTTATTGTATGCCACTTCAGCAAAGGGGAGGCAATCTGACCAATTGTCCTGTTGATAGTTAATGTAGCAGTGGATATAGTATTCTAACATACCATTAGTATGTTCACAGGATCCATTAGTCTGGGGATGATGTGAGGAGCTGAGTCCCTGAGAAGTCCCCAAGAGCTTTAAGAACTCTTGCCAAAATTGAGAAGTAAATTGCATTCCTCTGTTGGAAATGATCCTTCTAGAATCCCCATGGAGTGATAAATGTGCTGCACGAATAGTTTAGCTGAAGTTCATGCAGATGGGATCTTGGGGCATGCTATAAAGTGCAGCTGTTTGGAGAACAGATCAGTGACGGCCCATATTACAGTATTCCCTGACTTTCCAGCCGTTTAATAAAGTCCATGGATATCTCTTTTCAAGGAGCTGTTGGATTAGCCATGGGCTGTAGGAACTCTGTTGGTTTTATGGGATGTCCTTTCGCTGATGCACATACTGGGCAGCTGGCAATGTATCCTTCTTTGTCTTTTTTCATGCTTGGCCACCAGAATTGCCATCTCACCAGGTGCAAAGTCTTAACAAAACCTAAATGCCCTGCAGTCTTAGAATTGTGATTCCTTTCCAGGATTAAAGTTTTTTGGCTCACGGGCACATAGAGTTTTGATCTGATCTAGGCTAGGCTGTCATGTACAGAAACATCATGCTTGTGCTTCCAGGGCCACTTTTGCTCTCCCTTGTGCCCGGATGATGGCTGGGGCCACTATCTGGGTGGATGAGATGATGGAGTTAACCTGGTACTATGGAGTTAACCTGGTACTATTATATTGGGGTAGCCTGGAGAGTGCATCACCTAGGAAATTCTTCTCCATGGCAGGTATGGTAAGAAGAAGTTGAATTGGTTGGAATATTGAACCCACCTCACTTGTTTCTGGGCAGTTTCTGGAGGGTCTTTAGAGTTCTAAGTTCTTATGGTCTATCCACACTTCAAAATGAGTTTTGCTGCCATCGAGAAAGTGTCTCCACATGAGTAGCACCCATCTCACTGCATAGGCTTCCTTTCCCTATACTGCTCCCCTGCACCCTGCATCAGAGAATTTTCTAACTTAATGTCTCTTTTTTTTCTTTTTTTTTAAATTTTTAATTTTTTAAACCAACAAAACAAAACATAACACACACACACACAGAGTGAATACTCCTCCCTGTTTTTAACAGCGATTTTGTAACAGTAATTTTCTATTATTTACATTTGCCCCCCTTATTCTTCTTTAAAATATTTGTCCTTGTTGCCCCGTTGTTTCTTATTTGCATTTTTCTTCCTTCATACTATACTTCATACTAAGAATAATACATATTATTACTATACATTATTATACACACATTTTCCACTTTTGACCTTTCCACATTTATTCTCTATTATTTCTAGTCTCCAACCAATCATACCACTTGTTCCATATTAGATAGTACTCTGTGTCTTCCTTTTCTTTTATCTCTTTTGTTAATTTGTCCATCTCAGCACAGTCCAGGATTTTTCTTATCACTTCTTCCTCTGATGGTATATTCTCATTTTTCCAGAACTGTGCGTATGCTATTCTTGCTGCCGTTGTTATATGTAGAATTAAGTACCGTATTTCTTTACTATATTTTCTGTTTAAAATACCCAGCAAAAAGATCTCTGGTTTCCAGTCTACGGGTTGGTCTATTATTTCTTCAATCCATCTTCTTATTTTAGTCCAGTATTTTTTCGCAATTGGGCATATCCACCATAAATGGTAATATGTTCCATGTACTTTTTTACATTTCCAACATGTTGGCAAATTATTCTGGAACATCTTGGCAAGCTTTGCTGATGGAAGATGCCATCTGTAAAACATTTTCAACTGTTTTTTCTTGAATGCCGCTGACATAGTCAATTTTATGTTTATTTTCCATATTTTTCCCATTTCTCCAATTCTATATTATATCCAAATTTTTTTGCCCATCTAATCATTGTGTCTTTGACAACCTCGTCTTCTATTTTATATCTCAAAAGGTATTTGTATAAATTGCTAATTAATTTTATTTCTGTTCCATGTATAATTTTATCCAATTCTTGCGGCTCTTTTTGTATTTCATATAATTTTTTGTTCTCTGTATATTTAGACTGAATTTGTGTAAATGTCCACCAGTCAATCTCTCTGCCTATATCTTGTTCCAATTCTTGTTTTGTTTTCAGATTTCTCTGTTCATTTACTAATTCCTTGTATCTAATTATCTTATTTATATCCAGTAGGTTTGGGTGTTTCAGAGCTTCTGTTGGGTATAACCACATTGGAATTCTTATATAATGTTTTTGTTTTATTTTTTCCCAAGTCTGTAGCAATGCATTCCTAACTATGTGTCTTTGAAAGTATCTTTGTATTTTATATTTTTCGTCCCATAGGAATGCATGCCACCCTGCTTGCAAGTCATGTCCTTCTATTGTTAAAACTCTAGTATTTTTCAAATCCATCCGATCTTTTAGCCAAGTTAAGTTCGATGCTTGGTAGTATATTTCCCACTCTGGTAATGCCAATCCCCCTTTATCTTTCATATCTTGAAAGAGTTTTAATTTAATCCTGGGTTTTTTCCTTTGCCATATAAATTTAGTGACCAATTTATTTAATTCTTGAAAGGATGTTTTCCCTAATTTTATTGGAATAACTTGGAACAAAAATAATATTTTTGGCAATATATTCATTTTGACTGTAGTGATCCTCCCTAAAAATGAAATTTGCAGATTTTCCCAATTTTCTAAATCTTTTTTTATCTGGTGTAATATTTTATCATAATTGTCCTCCTTAATCGAGGAACATTTCGCTGTAATCCAGATCCCTAAATATTTTATTTTCTTGGTTATACTTATCTTTGTTTTATCTTCCAGTTCACTTTCCTGTGCCTTTGTAAGATTTTTGGTTA